TTTTTCGTGCGACACCAAGTCCCATAAGGCTACCACTCTTTATAAGTATCTCCTCGGTGATATGATGTTGCAACGGTTGCAACGGGCAATGGCAATGGTAATGGCTACACGCACCGTAATATTATAATTGTAGAAACAGTGTTCCATCGCCAGGATATCACAGTAGAAATGTAGTTCTCGTTACTCAACGAATCTAACGTGGTTCAATTGTATCAGACACATTTTCTCGATCAATTAAATACGACCAACTGATCTGTTCCATGAATTCCCTACCGAATAATACGTAAGTAAATAGACTATAGACACGTCTTTATATTATGAATTAACGTGATTAACGTGGCTCGAAGCGAATTATCATGAAACGAACGCGATCGTAGAGGATGCTCGACGTATGGCTCGAATCAAACTGTGTCGACCGTACGATCCGTGTACAACGGTCGATTGATTGTTCCAGGTCAACAGAAAATGACAGTATTAGAAACAGAGGAAGATGCAGATAAGCGTTCTGTTCCCCCTAGGAAGAGAATTTGTTTGTCCCTTTCTGGCCGCGAGCATACGAGCTCTAACATTTTTCAGGCTCCTCAGATTTCTGAGAGGGAGGGCCGTTTGAACAGGAATATCTTTATTACCTATAGTACGTAACGGAGATAGAAACCGAACATTGTCAAAGAAATCTTTCTAATTCCACGTTCATTAATTTCTGAAGGTACAAGCAAAATGTTGAATGGTTATCGCAATCAGCTGAGCAATCATCAAGATGGAAGTTACGACGTGTCTAGCAGTGGTTCCGAAGGATTGAGAATAGCCACTTTGTGTAATTTAGGGAATACGTGTTTTTTGAACAGTGTGATATATACTTTACGGTTCGCACCATCCTTTCTACATAACTTGCATCATTTGGCCACCGACCTGTCCAATTTGAACGACAAACAACTTCAAACTAAAGTAAGTTTTGTCACGGGGAAAAATACACTTTTCTGTAGCACGACGTTTCCCTTTCGCCAGGCGAAATCGTCGTCTCTAGGTAGAACCGGGGTATCGTTAACGTCGAGCGGTAGCAGGAGTTGGAGCAGTAAAGATCTATTGGCTCTGGCTGGACCGACGGGAGATACGAACAAGCACAGAATACAAATAGCTACCGAGAAGCTGCACGAACTGTTCATGGCCTTGCGCGCGTCCGAGGCGAAAGAAAACAGCGAGCCCTATCAACCAGACGCATTTCTGCAAGCCCTCAGGGACGTGAACCCTATTTTCGAAGGGAATCAGCAGCAGGACGCTCATGAGCTGTTGGTGTGCCTACTCGATAACATTAGGGAAACGTTCCAGTTGTTGGTGAAACACAGAGAAAGTCAATTCGGGCAGAGTAGCGACGGAGCGTCGGATTTTTCCACGGAACATCTGCCAGATGCACAGTCGGAAGGTAATAATTCGAACAAACGAAGCATTCGTAAGTCTAGAAAGAAGAAGAAGCTGACGTCGAGGGACAGCTCGTCCTGTCTCGTACAGTCGAATCTGAACGGCGTGTCCTCTAGACCTTACGAGAACATGAAATACTACATGAAATACTGCATGAAGTACGAGAACGGTCACACCGAATTCTCCGAGAGTAACGGAGACGCGAACAGTCACAGGCCGGAGAGCAAGAAATGTTTCATTTCCGAGGATTTCGAAGGCGTCAGCCTTCTGCGGACCACGTGTCTCGAGTGCGAACACGTCACCGAGCGGAAAGAAACGTTCTGCGACATATGCGTGCCTATCGACATTGACAGATCGAGCGAGAAAGGTAGGTAACGACGAGGGCCATTCGTACCTGAACGCTCCGTGACGATCGAACTGTAAACGCGTTTGCTTCCAGACAAAGATGCGAGGCCCATAGACAGTAGCGAGGTCTATAAACGCGCGGTAGTGACTAGCGAGCTTCTCTGGGGTCGAGACAAGTACTGGTGCAGTCGTTGTCTTCGATACAACGAAGCTCGCAGAGCAGTGTGTTTCCCATCGTTACCGAGGTTGCTCATATTGCAGTTAAAGAGATTCTCTACCGCGGCAGGGTAAGATCTCTTATCCGCACTTGCGTTCATGCGTTTTCCAAATAAAGCTAGTAGAACCGCCGTATCTAAGAACGTACGTTGCTCTTTGTCAGGTCGATGGAGAAAATAAATAACCATATGCCAACGCCGTTGACGTTGCAATGTTTCTGCGAGGAGTGCAACAACGATCAGACGCGTGGAACCACAGCCGGCGGCAGATCGGAGTCGCGACATGTATATAAACTGTATTCCGTTATAATGCATCAAGGCGCGACGATGACAGCTGGTCACTACGTCGCATACACTCGCCTGCCCGACGAATCCGCGTTCACAGAGTACTTTCAGTGTGACAGAGACAGCAAGAGGCAAACTTCCGGTCAGAGCGGCAGCGGCGGCAGCGTGAGTGGCAGCGGCAGTGGCGGCGGCGGAGGTGGCAGCGGCACAAACGCGAATTCGTCTTCGGACAAATCGTCCGGTATATTGAAGTATTTTCGAAGCAAGCCGAGCGCGAGCGAAAACAAGGAGCAGCTGATCAGATTTGGTTGTCGCAGCATGGATTGCTGCGGCGTCAGACGCCACAAGCTTCCTAGTACGTGGCTGGAATGCGACGACGAAGCAGTGCACGTGATACCGTTGCGCGAGTTAGAAGATAAATTAGCACCGAACCCGCGGAACTCCGCCACCCCGTACCTCTTGTTCTATGTAAGGTCCACGACGTAAATATTCCTCCCCCTCGAGCGAAACAGATTCTATGATCGTACGATATACGAGAAACCTAAAAGTGCAATGGGCCTTGTTCCTTCCTGTTAACGACCACGCTGTCACACACATCCTATGTACATCCGTTTACTCTCTACGAGTACAATAGATCAGCGTGTATAATCTCGTAGAAGACGAACGAAGTAAATTATGAAAACATTAGAATTTGATAGTTAAACGATACGCAATAAGTTCTCCAGGCTAATGCTAAATGAGTCTTGCTAATTAACACGCTACGAAGTGTCAATTTGTATTTAGACGACATTAATGTTAGTTGGGTCGTGGACCGTTTTATTTCTAAGTTATCTCTGTAAAAATAAAAGTATGTATTCTTCATTTCACTTATCCATTCCTTCTAGTTTTAGATCCGTCTTACGTTCTTGACAAACCGTAAGCGCGACTATCAGATGTATCTCGTCGTTAACGTATTGATTTTCATTACCCGTGACCCGTGATCTGTATTGTACTACCGAAAATACGTGTATCATTTTATTATATTTTTTATTTATAAGAACGCTGATTTTTAGCTGACTTACATTTTATAGCAATAAATCTATAATATATTCTTTTTATATTTTTTTGCTAAGATTAAATTATAAATATATTTCTTTAAATATGTTTTTATATTTCTATTTCCTGTGCGCTATGGCGCGATGTTTCGTCCATTCCTTCGACGACTCATCTATTTGAAAATCATTCCATTTCTTTTATTTAACCGTCCATTTGAGTTTCATTCGTAACGTTACTTTTTTCTAATGGAACAATCATTGAGCTATACAGGATGTTCCAGAACTGGTGGTACACTTTTTAATGGGAGGGGGAATGTTCGCCGACGAAGGAATCTTTTTCTTTCTTGGTGTATAATGCATGCTTGCTGAACTCGGACGCGTAAACCACATGCTTGCGTACCGATAATATTTCCGAGTGATTGACAATATTATAAATTCAAGTGATTCGATCGAATACTGAACTTCTATCCCCAACATAGCTGTATTTACTGCAAGATAATGCAAATACAGACAGAGAGTATAAAAAGAGGGATAGAGATCCCTTAGAGCTTCTCGTTTCTTGGAACTTCGTCGCCTTACTCTTCTATCTTACGACTTTTGACAGCCGCACACACTCCAAATCAAGGGGTGCGGTAGCGGCCCGAAGGCAAGTTTGAGGCAGGCAATGCAGGCATCGCATACTTTTTCGGTCGGCCGGAAAGTGGGGACGACGCGACCATGGTGGGGTCTGGCACTTGATGGGGATATGCTAGGAATGGTCAGCGAAGGCGCATGAGGGGAATAGTAGTGGGGCTCGAAATACGAGCGAAAAAGAGGGGAAGCGAGCCGTGCACGAAAAAATTTGAGGCCCGTCAGGGGGCAGCATTGCCGTCGGGCACCGCGTACCCTTATATACACGTAAATTCGACATTTTGAACTTCTTTCGTGAATATTAACCCCTTGAACGGAAATGACGAATCCAGCTCGTCATAAACTTTCCTCTTTTTCAAGTGCTGACTAAAAATAAATTGTCGTTCAAGGGGTTAATTGTTTCCACTGTACTTTCTTAATGCTTTAATGTCATAATACAGTTTTTGTAGACTACTTTACAATGTGTAACAAGTCTTATTTCAAAAGATGTCCTTAATGCAGAGATATTTTTCAGAAATCACTAGATGGTCCGATATCATGTTTTATACAGCTGAATGGGAACAATTAACAACGGGTAAATCTGTTAACGATAAATTATTAATTATGCGGAACGTCGACGAGGTGGTCGTGGAAATGTCGGAGCGACCGTTTCGATCGTACGTGGCTGTGGCTACTGTGACTATGCTACATCCATATATCGATTATTTCGATAAGGGTCAGTAGTGAATAGTAGCGCTTTACCTGTCGGTCTGACATATCGTAGTTTCTTCTACTTAAGTACTCCTATCAGGTTGCAATTTTTTTCCGTATCAAAATCGCGTTCTACGTGTCATGATCGCACTCTCGCTTCGTTAAGAAAGGTAAGTAATACGAAGAAAAAATTTTAGCGTTACCGAACGAATGAAACGCGGTACGATTAAAGTTCAAATAAAAGTGAGACCTCGTACAATATATTACATAGTTTTTACTTCCTATACTTGGCGTACCTCTTTATTGTTATACATAAGAAATATTTAATGGTCGTTGAACTTTTTATTTGCATAAAATACGAGTAAACGACGTGGCTGTGAACATGTTGTTCGACAGTAATTTAACGTCAATTTGAATAATATGGTGAGTGTAACATAATCATTTTTATAAATTCTGGACGTGCGCATTTTGGTGTAACACATTTTGTAAAATCCGATTCACAATGCAATAAATTGTTGGCCAGGAGTGGCGAACGGATCACGTGAAAATGGAAAATCGAAGATTACTTAAATTTGCAACTGTACAGAATGCATTCACGATGCACGTTTAATGCACGTTTACGTTTATACTTGTTAAAAAATTAAGTGCAATCGATACATTCACGGTATATCATCGTCGATGAGCTCGCGGATGTCGCGAACCATCGACGTCCGTTACACGCACGGCACGCCACGTTACAGCATACGTTTCCTTTTTCAACTGATCGGATCGACATTCGTCATAGAATCGATCATGCAGATGATATTATTTTATTTATTCGTTGATCACAGGTCTGGCCAAGAGTAACGAAGTAACGAATTTTCGTTATGAAACATCAACAGGTTTCGGTCGATTTTGTAAGTATGGTTTTCACCGCCTATTCGTACTTGGCTCTCGCTGGAGCAGTCTGGATATTTCTGCGGCTCATCCAGGCCTGCTTTTGGCTACCACGACACTTGAAGAGACAGAATCAAGTCCAACAGATGTTACAGGACAAGGCTCGTTGAATCTATATTTAGTTGTATCATCTGCATATTCGCACTTCTGTCACGTTATAATTTTCTATTTCATGACTTTTACGAAATTCAGGTAGAAAACTATGAGAAATATATAATGGAATGTGAAGAAAAAGAGAAGCTCGAACACGGCGAAGAGGTGAAGAATCCCGAGCAGGCAGAGAAATGGAAAGAACGTAGAGAATGCCTTGCGATGTTGAAGAAAGAGTTGAACAGGGTACACGATGGTCGCGACGAGCCGCAAGATTGGGACTATCTTTTGGAGGAAGAGGAAACAGAAGAAAAAGCTGACATGAAGGAAACTAAAGGCGACGAGACGTCGAAAAACGGACCTAACGACGAGACAAATACAGATACGACCGCTGTCAACGAAACTGTCGGTCCAGAGAATAAAAAGGACAAATAAAGACGACGGCACGCGTACGTGAACCGAGAAAAAAGTTATTAACAATTACGCGCAGATTCTATGACAACTAATCGACTCACCATTCGTGTACGTGTCGTTGTCGTTCAACGATCGTTCAACAATTAGTTCTTACGAATACTTATATTTCGATCGTGTATCTGTTCGACGACGAGGCAAGCTATACTCGTGGTCCCGAGAGTCTAGGACCGTTTCGCGCAGTTTGGAAGGTGGTGGGGGTCGCAGCGAACTCCCTCCAGACGGTTCAGTATGCACGGTAAAGCATTGAGATGCGTAAAACGATTAAAAACTGAACTGTGCCCGGTCCTAGACTCTCGGGACCGCAAGTATACAATAATTAATTTTTAATTCAAAGATCTGTGAGCGATACCGTCAGGGAAACTGAACGAAAAATTGGGAATACCCACTCACGTGCCTTAAACCGCGACGAAAGTTTCATCGTCGTGATTCGACGCGAACGCATCGATTTTTATAACGTAACGATGATACATGCATAGCAGGCATGTCAAGCTCGTTAACTATTGAGGGCCATATTAAGTATTATACCATTCAGTATAGTCAAATAATGTTTACACTGTCCAAATTTGGTTGAATTTGTTGAGCTGTAGTTATTTTTAAAATTACTTGCATATGTTTGTCTGTTAATGTTGATCCTTCTGCAGTTTTATTATTTTTTAAAGTAGAAAATGGTTGTCCGCACAAATGTGTGCTACCGAATATAGATCCAGTGTTGTCAAAAGTAAAATAAACGTATTGGTTATCAATAGCGGGCCGTTTGTTTGACATGCCTGATGTATTTTAGGTGTAAACATTTCGACCGAACGTCAGTACAGAAATATAATTTTTTATGCAACTACTGCACAGTATTTTTGAAGATACATTAAGAAATGCATGTTCATTCAAATTGTTCTATGTGTATTATGTATATAAGTGTATATTTGTACTGTTTGAATTATAAAATGTACTGGAAGGATGAGCCAGTGAGTGGAAATTGGAACGTTTACCTTAATGAAACTTGGTACTACACGTACACGTGGAAAGGGCAGTTTATATCCTTTGCATGTTGCCATCGTTTCTTATCTGAGCAAAGAAGAGTTTCGCCCGAACCTATCGATTCCTTTCCCTGGTTATTTTTAGAGAAGGAACACGAAAGGGACGCTACGACTATGACCTACAAAAGACCGTGGTATCACACGAGAGAGAAGAAAGAAGCGCACATCGGTCTTCCTCCGATTCTATACAACTTCCTTTGACCTCCAATCGTTTGAACATATGTTTCGACCGCATTCATTAGAAGTTGTCACATATCGTTACAGGAACTATGGAATTATCTCAGGATATAACGGCGGGTCGTCACGATAATTAATAGACGATTAACAGCCGATGCCAGCCATAGAGATAATACACATAGAAGAGATGAACCGCGCCAAAACCTGTCCTTCTGTTAGAAAGAGAAAAAAGACCGGTTACCTGTTCTGTCCTTGTCTAATGACGCGTATAATACACATATCCAACAACAAAAACAAATATTAAACTGCTGCTACTGAGCAGTGCGCATGCGCCATTAGGGAAGAACCGATACAACCGACAACCGATTCTTTCTCTTTTTCTATCATTCGAGACATTTTCACTTGCAGAGGTTCCTATGACTCACCTCCTCTATATATATTATCTCAATGATGCCAGCTGACACTAATTACGTTTTATGATCATCGAAATTCCTCAAAGACGGTAACGTTGAAACGAGTTTCTGGAGAATCATCGTCAGATGCCGCCACTGGAAAGTATTTTGTACAGAAACCAATATAATGGCGGGAGGGCGCTGGTCGAGTGCACGCAGCAAGGGGCAAGAGCTCGTGAAAGGAAATTGGCCCTCTTGGCAAGTCCAGCCAATAAGTCATACGTTATCAGTGGTGCGACGCGAGAGGCAACGTTCGAAACGATTTTACGCGTGTAACACACGTGTTCGACGACGATGTCGTCCAGAAAGCGACGTTACGCGTTCGTTTAAACACCGTCGATGTACACTCTCGTCGCTGACCTGGAGACCGGCGACAGAAGCCATGCCGCAGCAGCGCAACCCCCGACGGAAGAGGCCGACGGCGATGACAGCGACGAATCGTCGTCTTGTCAGCTAGGGAACGACGACAGCAAGTAAGTAAGTAGATGAATGTCGTCGACGATCCTTCCGTCGTTCCCTCTCTGACGATCTCACGATCGACGAGATTCACCTGCTTGCATGCCTTTGTTCGATGCTTTCGACTCGTTCGATTCGTTGTGTACATTCTTCACCTTTAATCGTGATCGACCGTCGATCGATCATTCAAGAATCAGTGCACGAACGACGATTGTCTAAACAATCGGTGTATCATTGTCGAAAGATCGTTACGTTGTAATCGTGTAACAAGATTACATCGAACAATGGCGATCAGTGCGACGATGAGGGTAGCGTTAGTAATGGAATTCTGTTTTCATCCCAGTCTGATGGTTCTCTTGGTGTTCGTAAGGAAATCTTATTACGAATTTAAAGCTATAAAATTAAACAGAGAACGAGATGAACCGGGCAGGTGGTTCCATCCGTTCTCGACGCGTTACCTGACGTACTCTAGCCGTGTGCTCGTACGAACGTGAACGTCGCTCGATACGTGTGCAGATCGAGCGTGAGTCTCGCGTGCACCCATCGCGTGGCCGACACGTTTGCGCAGCGAGGTCGTCCATGACGAGGTCGAGACCGTCGCATCGGCGCATGTGAATTATAGTTTCGCGGGCGACTGCGATAGCTGTTTTGTCACCGCTAGAGCAGGTGACTGGAACGGACCGAGGTCACTGACCGGTGAACTCTGACCGGACCGAATCGAACGTCGTTCTTGTATCACCGTAGGAGACCTCTCTCTGGTGATCGTTTCCGTTCACGATCTTTGACGTCTTTCTCTGATCAAAATACAGTCCGTTCTTCGTTCTTAAACCTTCCGCTCGCGTCGAGACAAAGACGCTCGTTCGAGAATATGATAAAAAATCCTATTAGGACGTTCGACGTTTGAATCCGAGGGATCGAAATTGGATTATCAGACGGAAATGTCCATTTGAAAAACGGAACCGTTGAACTTTCGTTTGCGAATCACAAGAAGGACAGGTATAAGATTTCTTTCGACTTACATCAGTCGCGATATTCTAAAGGTTTTGCTCATCGCGTATCTGTTATCTCGTTCCAGCGCGTCCATCGGTTTTCTGCACGGAAAACCGAGTATCACGCAGCTCCGTTCTATCGATCCCGCAGCAGCCAGGACGTTCCCCGTCTTTCTCCTTCTCGTCTTCCTCGGCTTTTGACGTTTCTCTCCATTTTCCATCGACCGTTCGCCCATTCATATTCTGTCCCTCTTCGACTTCCATCGACCGCCGACCTATTCACTTCAGTTTCCTCTCTTCGTCTAATTTCCTTACCCATTTCCCAGACGTACGTAACACGTTTGACGAGCGTGACCAAAAATCCGACGACGATGTTCCTGAGATCTTTTGGCTTCGAAGTTCTCGTCCGACGAAGTCGAGGCGACGATCATTTTGTTTCAGTTCGAGAACGTTCCGTCCTTGCCGGATGATATCGTTCGATGGCCTTGACACGACGAATATTTCTGTTGCAACCGTGAACCTGTGTCGACGTATTCATACCGAGGGGCCTATTCACGTACGTACGTACGTAGAAGGAACGGTTAAGGGTCAGCTAGGGCGATAGACACTTTCCCAAAGGCTTGAAACATGGTACGCTTCCTACGCGGTAAGCAATTTAAAGAGCCGAGGTCAAGGCCTCGATCCCCGAGGGTCGAACGCACAAAGGGAATTCGCTGAAAAGAAAAATCTAAATCCAAACATGAATTGTGCAGCGAAACGAGACACGATCGCGTAACGTTCGTGACGCCAGTGAAACGTCGCACGTCTTTGTATTTACTCAGGTATTACGACGATGCCCGCCTGTTAGAATAAAAGCCGATGACGCGCTGGTTATCTCCGATCGATGTTCGTCGGAAGGATCTCTTTATCACCGAGCCGCGGTTTCGACCCGATGAGTGCGTTTGGCACGTAAAATTCATTGATTTCCGATGCCCGTTTGGTCGTTGCCGACGACGAACGAAAATCATTTGTGTGGTCCGTGCCCGTACACTCTGCTTCATTTTGCCCCGACGTCGTTGTAGCTAATTCGGGAGCATTCGGGATCCTGCGATGCACCCCGTAGGCCCTTTATTTATAGGAACGACCCGGTGTCAACGGCCTGAACGATCCCTCTGTGATATTCCTGGTATTTCAACGATTCAAATGCCCCCAACTGCTTTCACCGTTCTACGACGTTTTCGATTCGTTTTTCCATTGCGATTCCTCTCATTGGCCATTATAAACATCGATTTGGAAAGTACACATTCTTGTGACAACTACTTTCACATATTGAGTACCCCTTCTGCGTCCATCGTGGAGGGGAATGAATTAGGCATTGGTGAAAATGATTTAAAAAATAGAACCCTGGACAATGTATCGCCGCTAAGAATTAAAACAAATACTATAACGACCATAATGTAAGGAAACAAGGTGTGTTCTAGCGCATCCCAATTATCAACTAATCATATTTTCGGCCCTTCTTCGGCCATACTGGATTTTCAACCAATCACAATTCGCAAAACAACGCGTAATTATTGAACAGAAATTACACATGAAATTACACACTCGAAATATTCAATATGTTACTACATGATACTACATGCACTAGTACATTGTTTATAGACATGTTTTATAAATCACTATGGAATTACGGAACAAATAATTGACGTTACCATCTTTTAGGTTCATTTTTTCATTTCCACAAGCTTTCATCCACAAATCAGCAAGTGTCGAATCTGCAGGAAATCTATGCAACTGAATATCTGTGTTCATCTTGTTCCCACTCCGATTTCTACACGATTTTACCAAACACGATGGCATTTTTCAATATTCTATCGATTGTTCAATTATGCCGTGTTTTTAAATTTAAACATTACGTCGCCATATTACAATATGGCCGAAAGTGGGCTACATGCGCAGAACGAGTCAAAACGCGCCTGCCTCAAGAACACACCTTGTTTCCTTACATCATGATAACGACCACGAAAATTAATCAACAGCCGATAAGAAAACGATCTATCAAAAACCACAAGGCCGCTAGCCTAGCGACAAGAATTGTTTATTAACAGCGTCGTTAGCAACGCGTAACTATATAAGGAATCCTCGTATTCTCTTGCTGTGCTCGATTGGAAGAAAACGAGGTAAGCCATCGGTCGTCCAACTGAGAAGGAGAGTACGAAGTCTAGCTATCGGACGTCCACTGTAGCTAGGAAAGTACAGTACTACCCTGGGTCGTCCTTTGGAGACGCCAAACCAGAAACCGAGTACAGGGGACGTCACCCGGACGCCTGTGAATGCTTAGGTTAAGAGTGTTGAGAGAAAACGGTCGGACTATCCACCAGTCGTCCTGTAGAAGTAGAAATCTCTCGTGTAAAAGAAAAAACGGTCGGAATAACCACCGGTCGTCCTCTAGGAGTAGGCATAGTTTGCGTCAGAGGAGAGTAAGAAGATATAACCTGGGTTATTCTTCGTAGGAGAGAATGACTGAAGTATCCGCCGGTCGCCTCGAGAATAGAGTACAGAAAACTCCAGACGCCTCTGTATAATAAGTTCAAATCCGAGTTTCGCGTTAGGAGAGAGTTCGGAGGTTTAACCTAGGTCATTCTCCGTGGGAGAGAACGGCTGGAGTATCTTATCTACCGGTCGCCTCGAGAAAAGTGTACAGGAACACTCCGGACGCTCCTGCGTATTAATTCAAATCCAAAAGCGAACCGGAGAAAATTCGATTTCGTAATAATTCTCACGTGTCGAAAAATTGCCGATATGAATAAATTAATGTTTCTGTTCTCCAGAACCTTTGTTCTTCATTCCCGAATTTCGCCTACAGTATTATAATAAATACGTTATAATACTGTATGATAAATACATTATTTCGCTGAAGTACAGAGTCTGTTAATTCCATAAGTGGAATTACCAGTTAACTCGACAGTACCTTCTTAATGGAAAGTCAATGTTTGAAATCGTAACATTTTCTCCCGTGAGGTCACCTCATTTCTTCGCTCTACCAAGGTTCTCGTCGACCGAAAGATGGAACCGCGCATCGGTGCATCGATGCTTGTACGTAACAGTTTCGCAACGTGCTCGGCACTTTTAACCGATGACGATGATTCTAGAGCGGTTAGGTAACTGAAAGTACATCAAATTTGGCGTTCTACGCCGGGAACCGACGATCGCGATCAGTCGTTCGTCGGTCGCGACGATCACAGATCTTCGACTGAACATGTGACGAGTGGTGGTCCGCTACGATCGCAGTCGACCCGACCTTGCCCTGAACGTGACTTTCTACGTGATAAATTGTAATTGAAACCTTGACGCAGGGGCGACCTACGGTCGCGATTAACGACTCGTCGAACTCGAATCAAGATTTGATCATGGGTGAGATGCTTTCCGTCGTCGAGGCGATCGAAGGCTGGACACAGAGGGTGAAAGGATCCGTCGAGACGGATCCCGCGACGACTGACACACCCGAAACGATAACGACGATCGAAACGAACGATGCGACGCGTGATCACGATTACGAGATTTACGAGCAAGCGTTCCTCAAGGATGCGCCGGTTCTTCGGGACCTGTTGTTTGGAGTGCCCGTCGAGAGCAACCTTTTCGAGATCGTTTGCACGATCAATCGGTTGGTCTTCTTTTACGTGATCATCAAGTGGATCAATTTCGAGGTATGGGTTGTGACCGGCGCTGAACCGTTCATCTTGAATCGGTGAAAAATACCTAGATGTTCAAGCCGAATGTACCTTGAAATGGCGCCTATATCCCCTAGTATCCCTCAGAATTCCGCTTACCAACTAGTTTTTCGTGTACCTTCCGTTGAAATACACCTTCTTCGTGTGTTCTCATGAGGAATTCAGTAATGTTTTATGTATATGTCGGATACAAGTCGACTTATACGCGTTTAAGCCGAATGTACCCTGAAAGGGCGCATATATCCCAAAGTATCCCACAGAATTCCGCTTACCACTTAGTTTTTCGGGTAGTTTCATCTTGAATCGGTGAAAAATACCTCGATGATCATGTTCACCCCGTGCTCTCAACGTCAATCGCCGATGGAAAATGTCGGCACTGGCGACTTCCGAGACAAGTAAATTTTAGATCGAATCATGAGGAAGGATTCGAAGACGATATAATTGAGAGCAATGAGACGAAAGGAATGCTTCGAGGAAGAAGTACATTCAATGCGATGGAACGTGCGCTACGTGCAAGTTTATCAGAAGATTGTGACGAGAAGATCGATGATAACGAAATAAATACTTTTGGAAGAAAAATATATTTAACGTAGTACAGTTTTAGTGATCGGCACCTCCTTCGATTTAAAAATAAGTTCTACCGGCGCGTTTACTCAATGTACACAATTCTGTAACGTGTAAAAGAAGTGAAGCTTCGCACGAGTACTTCTGATGCTTACAATATGGAATTCCATGTGAACCGCGAAGCGACCGGTCGGTCGCGTGGTTCTTTTTATTTCTTGAGTAAACTAACTACCGATGTCCGTCCATTTGAATGTGTACGTTGTTAAATAAATATTTGCATATTGGAAAATATTTGTACGCCACCGTGTTTGGTTTGGTGCACTCGTGTCTATCACAGTAGCGACTGGCAATTGCGTTTCGATCGACTTTACGTATTCCTTTTGCGCGTCGAACACTGGTCGATCGATGATCGTCGACTCGCACGTCGGAACTGTTGGGTTCTCATGGATAGAAACACACCTTTTGTTGCTAGATATCAAGTCTAGTAACAATTAATGTCGTTTTCCAATACATAAACGAACACTAAAAAACGACACTAATTATTACTAGACCTAATACTTAGAAAAGTTAAGATTTATTCTCTTTGTTAACTCGATACACGTGCGTATACAAAAATATTACGAAAAGACAAAACGCAACTACCTCATGCAGACCGAATGGCGTAGTGGTGTAGATACTTTTTTAAGTTCGAAACATCAGGGCGGCTCATCTTCGTCGTATTTTCCTTCGGAAAGCGTTTCACCGTCGATCCGCGTCTCGTTTAGAAGCTGATCGCCTATCCATTGGCACGAAAGGGTATTTAGAACGGAACGACGGAGCACGCATGTTCGTGCCGTACTGGCGGGTCTTCCGTCTCGAAATTGTGTCCGACGTTCCATCTCGGTTCCCTCTGGCAGAGAGCCAGCAGCCCTCGGCGGACCGAATTCTCTTTGTCGACCCACGAGAATCCTCTGAATCCCCGCTGGGAGTGAAAAATCGGGACAATCGAAGGTTTCCCGCAGAATTTTCCGGAACGACACGGTTTGCCGAACCTGACCAAATGTTTGCGCCGACGATGAAATCGTGCCGTTTCGTCACTGCAACGCCGGACACGTGGACCAGTTGCGCGACGGCTTTCAGAGAGTTTTCCTTCTGGTCCGCTGCCTCGCGGAACCAAGTTAACCGGGTTTAGAACGGAGAGAACTGCGCTGGACGCGTTCCGATTGTTCCACCTGTACTTTTAGGTTACAGGAAATATTGAACATACGCGTGTCCGTGTCGACCGACCGTGACACAACACCGTGTCGACTATTTCATTCTTCTGAACTCATTCAATGAAAAAAGTACCAGCTGCTTCGTTAAAACCTCTTCCGGCTGACGCCTTCGCCGTACTCTTCGTTTCTCTTTCGAGGACAATTCGAGAAATCCAATCCAACGAGATCGATTCTCTCATTTCGATTTTATAGAAGAATTTTTTGCTCGAATTTCGATTATCCAGATTTGTGGAGAATCGAACATCCCTAGTCGGAAGCGTCTCCGATGCTGACTGATGCTGACAGACGAGAGAAAAAAAAGCTGCTCGCAGCGCCCGGGCGGAGTCGAAAGGATGCTTCAAACGACTCTAAATTCGTATTGCGTTCCATACTTCGTTCTCATATTTCTTTGTACCACGTCGATGCGTTCGCATCTAGAGAACGGATCGATACGAAGTACCACCGTCCTTCGTTTATTGATTTTACCATAGACCTTTGGAAAACAAATTTGGATTCTACGACGTCGAGCAACGACGGAGTATCCGTTCAATGAACAACGTCTCACGATAAATGCATAAAAAGTTCCTTTTTAAAATAACAATAATCATATCGGGCAGGTTTTACACAATTTTTCCTCGTTGCCGCTGATTCTATATTGCATCGATGGCAAGATGCGGTTTTAGAGGGTCGAGGTCCACGGTCGACGTCGACGGTAGTGCGATGGCGCGTTGGCGAGGGTGTCAGGGACGGGAGAGAGGAAGTGGGCGACGTTCCCCACGTCCGTCTGGTTTCTCCTCTCCTCTGAGCCTCCGAACGGGAGACGAGAGACGGGGAACCGGGACAAGGGACGAGAGACGACCAGAGTTAGTCGGTCGCTAGACGTGGCGGGAGTAGGTTCTTCGCTTGTCGGAACGTCTTGGCTCCGATCGACGTATACAGGGTGTCTAAATCGTACTTTTCTCATATATACGACCGCGTTGCACTCGCGACCTGTATGTCCGTCGGTTCGGGACTCTTCCACACGAAGTAGCCGTATTTCGATACTTATCTACGGGAAAAAATCATCGGGAACGACGCGGTTAATGCGACGCGGATCGTGTGAACGCTGGACGATAATAAAAAATAAATGCGAACCGGTCGTTGCACTCGGTTTTCGCTCCAGCAGTGTGATGCGCGCGTGTGTCGTTCGTTGAATTTCCATGCGTGATTCGTGTTCGGGCAACGTACCGTTACTCGTGACACTAGCCGAACCTCGTAGCGTAGCCGCGTCGTTCGTTGCAAACGCTCACTTCCTGTGGTACCACCGAGCGTACGGATCTCGCGAAAGTGCAGCTCCAGTACGGAGATTCGACTTGAGATAGATCGAAGTTCTCGAGTTCGCGGTGGTCAGTCTTTGCGAAGTGGAACGGGCGTGATCGTGACACCGGAAGAGAGGCCCGTTGTGTCTCCGATCATCACCGGAGATCCGTGAACACGAATCGTGTTTAAACCCGGGCCAGTGTTTTAACGGTCGAATCCCGCGGTGTGACGGCCGCGACGGGAAGTCGAGTCTCCGGAGTCCGATAATGCGTACAGTAAGCAAAGCGATGAGACATCGCGCGATCAGCTGACTAGCCGAATTGTTTGGCGGTCGTAGAGAAGACTGGAGGACCAACGACGGACGACAACGATCGTCCACTTGTTCGGTGATGACGTTCGGGACACCATTCCATACCGAGAAGGCGTATTTTCCCAGCGATAACCCAATCCGGTACGTTATGTCTTCTCGTACTGCACGATGCCGCGTTGTTTCATACTTTTGCGTCGTACGACGTCGACCGATAGAAGTTAAGGTTCACCCAAAGCGTTGGAATCGACTTTTGACCGGCTTTTCGGTGCGGACGCCTCTCCGTGCGTCGATCGGAACCGGTTTCGAAGAGGACTTTCGCGATGCTTTACTAAATTGTCACACCGAGCGTTCGGTCGATAGCCTCTCTTTGATCCTAGTATCCTGATTTTGTGTACGAATTTAAAACCGGAATATGCACGAAACTGTGCGGAATTTTATCGTGAAACGAGAGGTACGTGCGGTTAAAACTCGCATTATCAATCGCCGTTCGGGCGTCGTGCATTTTTCTCTTAGCGTTCGGTACGTTTCTACTGGTACGTCAGCTGCGCCATTTGTGTTTTCTTGGAATTAAATTTTTCTATAGATCCGTGAAATCCGCAGAGCTTACCGAACGACCGTAATAAACTCGGAAGCAGAGAAAGCGTCAGGCGAATGGTATGCGAGTCCTGAGAAGTGAGAAAATGACTAGAAAACAGATACATACATGTACGTATGTATACGGCGTAGGTAGGCTTTGATACTGTCTTGACGCTTCCTTTGTTCCGTTGCTATGCGTCAGGAATCTGAATGGCGCAGCGAACCATGAGAAAATTCCGAGCCGCATAAATATGTGAAACGTCTCTCGTCGACGAGATTTTGATGTTACTTAAAACGCGTCACAATCGAAAACGTGTATATATAGAATATAGATAGAGAGATAGATTATAAATAGGACGGACGATCGATCGACGTCTGTGGACGATATAGGAGTTTAGCCGATTCGAATGTGAACACGGATGTTGGCCGGTGAACCAGAACAATGCGACGATACTTACAATGATCGGCAGAAGGGACGAGCAGAGGCAAGGTCATCAGGGGGTAGATCGCTGTGACCGTATCATCATCGATACGCTGCTATTTGAACAACGGAGTCGGAACGAGACAAAAACCAACAAGAAACAAGAATTAGAAAACAAGATACTCGTCGGTGTTAAACAGTTGCCAGATACAATTTACTTCTGACTTCACTCGTTAAGGAATATGTAATTATTTGGCAATGAACGAACTAATTAATTGTGTTTGAAACGAAAATTGTAAATACTGTCAAAAGCTACAAGTTTCATATAAAATGTTTTTTTCTATCATTCATAGTTACTTAGTGGCGTAAACTGCTACTTTTCTATCACGAGTGTTTCGATCACGTGCGCTTCAAATCACAGTGATTTTCGTGATCGCTTTTCATTGGTGGAGAGTGGACTGTGAAGATGACGTGAATTTGTGAATTACGATGCCAAGTGATTGCAGTGATCGCAGTGATCTGAATATCTAGAGTCTCGCATATACGTGATTGTGATTCACGATAGCCACACAAGTGTTTTGGGCCCCATTCGCTGTCCCAACGATTATACAGGCACTGCCACTCTTTAGTAATATCTCAGTGGTTCGACAGAGCAACACATTTTTTATTTAAATTATGTAAATGTTCGGACGTGAGTCACGGTGCATTTATTTCCCGAGTTCAGCGGCGAGGGAGGTTCCGACCCAGGAGGGAAGATATCGTTCGTGACGATCGTGTCCCCCCAGCGTCAACGACCCCTTTCGAATTCGTACGTCGAAAAGTCGTCGGTCGTCCTGTCCCGGCTATTAAACGACGAAGCGAAGTGGCTGTCCACACGCGAACGAATGACGTGGACGGATGTCAAACTGAATTGGCGCAATGACCATAACCAGGGCCTGACACGGCAATGGATGTGCGACCTTTCCTTGTCGTTTAAAAGAATAGAACAAAATTATCCATGCACATAGATACATGCGTCCACACGTGTGGAAACTGTGGTTCGTTGCACATGAAGAAATCGTGGAACGATTCGAGCGTCGACCCAAACGCGAAAACCGTGACGCGAAACCCTGATCCGTCGCCGAGATTCAGGAAACAGCTTTCAGGTGTGAAATTATGCAGGATTTTATTACTTGGATTTGCATCGCACGCGACACGACATTTCTCCAATAATTCATACGACGGTCGATCGATTTACTTCTATACGACTACTTACTAAAATCACTGGCGAAAGCTTTTACTCGCCTTTATGCCAATGGCCCGTTGATTCATCTTGACACGTTCGCTTTCCCAGCGAGACGTACTATCGTTGCGTGTTTCAATGATCAGTCGACGGTGGCAATTTTCCGTTAAACGGACGTTAACGCGTCGTGGAAAAAGCTGAGGAACGAAATAATAGCGGTCTCGACGTTCCACATCGACCCGTACCGGTCATTTTCTCATTATCATCAATCATTCTTTCCATTTCGGCGTTTTCATCCGTCATCGTCGTAGAACATTTTATCTGTCCGAGGGTATTTGAGTGAAGAGCACTACACGAAGAGATGCGAGTCAAAGAGTAAACAAGGAAATGCCGTATAACTTTATAATGAACAGGCACCCACTGTTAATCGGAACGTCGATAGTTCATATCATCGTTTCATGATTCTGAGCGTTTCCGGTTGACTCGCGGTCTCAATTACGTTGCATGCGTCGTGCGCGACTTGCTGTAGCTTCTGAAACGTTGGTTGAGGTAATAGACGCAAGCTACGAACAGTGTTGAGTATCGCCCGCGTTCAGATATTGGACGGTCAATTAACTCTGAAGTTGAATTTATACATAAAAAAGTACCTCATTCTATTTAAAAAAACAAAGTTGACCTTCATATATCCTTGACGCGTCTACCTATGGAAAAACTAATAATACCAAAATATGCCCCACTCGATACTATTTAAGGGGCCTTACCAGTGTGACCGCCTAAAATGTAGGTCATTTTTGGGGAATTTTTTTAAACTTCGTGGATGTATTTGCCTATAAATGAACTGTGTAAAATATTTTTTTCGTACAAAAATAACTAAAGGTGACCAAGTTATGCGCTATTTCCTGAAACGCCAGAAAAAAAAGTGATTCAACTGCTGACTTCAACAGTTCGTTAGGATGCCTGAAATGAAAAAAGACAGAGACGCTTTTAAACTAGACATGCTTTATTGTTGAATGACGTAGGATATCCGAGAAATGTTGAAATCTGACAAAATGGCGGTCGACGATCTCAATGATCAAATGAAATAACCGATCTCATCGCGAATCAACATTAGATAATGTCTGTTGAATTTTTTAATAGAATCGATGAACGTTCATCTATTGTATGTACTCCGCGTGAAATCGGGTATTCGATCGCACAGTATGGGTAAAAGTAAACGGTAGAACGTGCGACCGACGAGCGAGACAAGGAAGAGAGGACCGTCTCGCGCTAGGTTTATAAAAATATTTAACGGAGACAGCATAACGGGTGTTGTCGAGGCTCACACACGCGATAACGACGATGCGATCGGCCGAGAGCGATACGTCATTCGACGCACGTCTACACGTGACGGCGACGGACGATCCCCGCGACGTAATGGAGGTTGCAGTCAAGGCTGTAGAAAGGCGTCCCTTATTGCATCTTGCGAGCCGTGCCAACCGGTCGTCGACCTGCCCGCGCTCACGTCTCTTTGCGCAAGGTCATTTTACTTATCGTTAGATTCGTTTTAACGCGTTAGTCGCGTTCCGTCTAATGAGAGGTCTTCAGCCGGTCAGTTTTACGGTGAGGATTTAAACGACGATAATCTATGCTTTTCTTTCGTTCTTCTCCTTGGTCAAAATTACTTTCCCAAGTCTCTATAGTAAGATCGATGAGTCTCTTTACTCATTGTCCTTTGACAACGATGTTCGTTCACCCCACGTATAGAACTAGAAGAAAATGCGAGTGTTCGATCGATATCTGATATTCCACTCCCACGTTTCGATCGAGTAGCGTCAGATCTCACGAGCCGTAGGCGTGATTAGCTTGTCACTGCCTATCTATGCCGCCTGTGGCCTATGGCCTATGGCCCGTGCTCTTTGCGTCTGAACGGAAGGACAAAGTATAGGTGGTATATGTGCGACGTCACGTCGCTGGTAGATGACGTCGTTAATAATATAAAAACGAACTTTCACTCGACCGGTGAACGACGTCGACCTTACGGTGGATGCTCGCGAACACCCTGTATAAGGACGAACAGTGTATTCCTGTAAACCGATATTTGGCACTATTCCTGCCTGGTTATCGATAAAACAGAGCTAAAAACGTCAAGAATTTACCGACGCGTGTTAGGAAAGTCACGTGACTACCCTAGCCCCTTAAATCCGATAACTGTTATTCGTTACCCGTTCTCGTTTTAGATACACAGTTTCTATTACGACGTCGCGGGGTACAGCCTAATTTTAATCGCTGACAGAGGCTCTCAGCGTTTCTTTTTCAGAAGCTTTTTAATTATCCCTCGGGGTATTCCACTCGGTAACGAGGAACATTATAGTCGTATACTCATGAGGATTCTCACCATTATTATACGAGACTATGTTCTTTGAATCCGTAATCAAGTCTCCAAATGCGAGGTCGATGTTCCTGCAAAAGTTAACTCGAACCGAAACAAACGAGTCGTTGAAAACGTTCGTCGTATCGTCATTTTTCACTTTTCACTTTTTTTTCTCGTTTCTCAGAAATTCGTGAGGTGTTTCGCCTGGCGGAGCACGGGCAAGAGTGAAACTCGTTTTGAAGTTACGTAAATCACGTCGAAGTTGTGGAGTTTGATCTTTGGGCGTCAGTTTCGGAACGTCGATACGACGCGACTCGCGTTTTTCACTTTTAATGCGGCAGATCGGTCTCGATCGGTGAACGGCCCGAAACGAGTGATCGTCGTTGACGAGCACAGGAAAAATTTGAACGAACGAAACCTGCGGTTGGAATGTATTTTTAACGACGGGAGCGCGGAAACGAGCGGGCGCGCTCGTTCTTGTTGCTTCGATCGTGACCCCGGCGCGGCCCGCTTCGTCCCCGACGTGACCTACGCGTCCGGGTAAATGGGGCAAAGAGCGAGCCAAGAGTCGAGGAGTGCACGGGTCGTCTCATCGAGATCTTTGGAACGAGGTCACGCCAATCGCAATTTATCCATCGTGGCCCAGAGTGTCTCTCTCGCACGCGTAACGATCTCGGTTCTTCTTCGTCTTTTCCTCGCCGATCCCCCGTCGACGTAACAAAATCATCGACCAGTTCAGCGCCTATGATTCGTACGTTCTTCAGCTTCGTCCGTGCCAGTCACGAGAACTAACGCGTAAGGATCGTTCACGTTTCCTGGGATACGACTCGATCGAATGGTTGAGTACGTACACATACGCAAAGATCAGCCTTGTCTTCGTCAGTGAAAGCGAGAGCTGACGTTGCGTTCATGCAATTTCTTTGCCCGTACGCGTCATGAGTAAGATTCTTGTTCTTCGATCGACAATTGGCGTTTTCAGAGCTTCTATTCTCCCTCGTATGCACATTATCGTTATGCATTTGTACGATGTTGCCACGCTTCGCATCAAACACGCACGTACAAATAGTGAACAGCATCCTTGACGTCAATGACGATTCGTTATGCTCTTTAGTTATCACGTATTATCTGTCAAGCATCTAGAACACTTGGACTGCTCATTAGATCATCTACTCTCTTTGTAAAGTCGCGTACTTTAATTGCCATATGTAGGATGTCCCAGAAAATGTGTTAGGACCGAAGACAGGTGATTCTGTAGGCGTTCAGAATCATTCTTTTTCGAGTCTAACACTTTTTCTGAGGGACCCTGTATGATGCCTTGGTTCTTGCCCACTTTGAATATGCGTCGATTATTGTGCCCATAATTCTGAAAGTGGTCTAAGTCGAAATTTAAAAAAAAATGAATTTATCACTTATTTCACGCGACATGATTTTGTCTGTGGATAAGTCAAAATTAGTCTGTGGATAAGTCAAAATTAACTCAGTGGTCTAAGTCAAAATTAAAAAAAAAAATGAATTTATCA